CAGTTAACTGCAATACTGAAGAGTGCAGGAATGACACTGCACAAGTGGTGCAGTAATCATGCTGAACTTGCGGAAGAAGATCACTCCTATTCCTTTCCTAATGAAGCAGAATCTACAACACTTGGAGTGTCTTGGAGGTCTAGAAGAGACTGTTTCTGTTTTAGAGTGTGAAACTCGATAATGACATAGTTGTTACCAAACGACAAATATTGTCCACAATTGCAAGATTGTTTGACCCGATTGGTTTACTAGGGCCAATCATAAGTAAAGCCAAAATATTCCTCCAACGGTTGTGGTTGTTAAAGCTGAATTGGGATGAATCACTACCAAAAAAGGAAGCTGATGAATGGAAGAAGTTCTCTACTGAACTGGAAGTTTTAAGTAAAATAGAAATTGAAAGGTTTATTCTTATTGCAGAAGTAGACTATGTGGAACTTCATGGATTTGCAGATGCCTCTGAGGTAGCATACGGAGCAACCATATATTGCAAGTGCCGTTCGAGAGATGGAGAAGTGAAGACAAGGCTAGTGACGAGTAAATCCAGAGTCTCGCCTATTAAACGAGTTACTATTCCGAGACTGGAGCTTTGTGCGGCAGTCCTACTTGCAAGGTTGATGGTTAGAGTAATATCTGCATTAGAGATTTCTGTGAACAACGTTTATCTGTGGAGTGACTCCATGATCGTGCTTTCATGGATACAAAAGGAGCCTTACCAGTTGAAGACATTTGTTGCAAATCGAGTGGCAACAATTCAAGAGTTGACTAATGGTCATCAATGGCGTCATGTGTCATCAAAGGAGAATCCGAGTGACCTTATATCCCGAGGTTTGGATCCCAGTAAACTTCTACAAAATGATATGTGGTGGAAAGGCCCTCTGTTCCTGAGATACGACGACTACCCAAATAGAGAGATTCCGGTGGAAGTCATTGTGAAGGACTTTCCAGACGAACTTAAAATCCTTAGTGACTCTAATATTTTTCTTAATGTGAAAGCTAACCCTTTCATTGAGGATTTCTTAAATTTAAGTAACAATTACACTAAAATTATTCGTGTTTTAAGTTTTATTTTTAGGTTTGTAAACAACTGCAAGGGTTAAGGTTTCAGGTCCTCTTCAGAGCTCAGAATTAAAATTAGCTGAACTTAAACTGATTAAGCTAATTCAAGATAGTGAATTTAAAAAAGAAATCTCAAGCCTTGAAAAGGAGGGTAAGGTACCTCCAGATAGCAAGGTAAGAAGTGTTTTTCCATTTTTAGATCAATATGGAATTTTAAGAGTTGGAGGCAGATTAGCTAATTGTAAGTTGAATTTTGATAGAAAATTTCCTATAATCTTACCAAAGAATCATAAGTTGACTAATCTAATTATTGTGATGTTTCATAAGAAATACATGCATATTGGTCCACAAGGCTTACTGTCTATTGTTAGACAAGGGTTTTGGCCCTTAAACGGGCGCAACACTTGTAGAAAAATAGTACATGAGTGTGTCGTATGTTTCAAAGCAAAACCAGTGCCCTGTCAACAACTTATGGGTCAACTCCCTCAAGAAAGAGTCAGCCCGAATTTTCCATTCAATTGTGTTGGAGTTGATTTTTTTGGTCCTTATTTTATAAAATACCCACATCAGAGAAAAGGTCGCCTTAACAAGGTGTATGTGTGCATTTTCGTTTGTTTTGTTACCAAAGCTTGTCATCTTGAGTTGGTAACAGACCTGTCTAGTCAAGCATTTATTGCAACCTTAAAGCGTTTTTTTCAGCAGGAGAGGCAAGTGTGTGCACGCATATTTTCAGATAACGCAACCAATTTTGTTGGTAGTAACGCAGAATTAAAGAAATTGAATAGGCTAGTCAGCAAACCAGATGATGAATTAGGTAATTATTTATCGAGTGAGAGTATTGATTGGTCGTTCATTCCCCCTAGAGCTCCCAATCATGGAGGTCTTTGGGAGGCAGGTGTCAAATCTGTTAAGTTTCATTTGAAACGCGTAGTAGGCAATTTGAAACTAACCTATGAGGAGTTTCTTACAGTAATTGCTCAAATTGAAGGCATTTTGAATTCTAGGCCCTTGCAACCTTTATCATCCGAACCAGAGGATTTTGATATCTTGACACCAGGCCACTTCCTGATAGGCAGACCTATCACGGCTATTGCAGAACCTAATATTTTAAACGTTAACGATAATAGATTAAAGAGCTGGCAAAAATTGACTAAAATAGTACAAACAATTTGGAAGTATTGGAGAAATAACTATTTGAGTGCAATGCAAGGAAGAACTAAATGGTTCTTTGAAAAAGACAATGTCAAGGTTGGAACTATGGTAATTTTAAAGACTGATAATGTTCCTGTATGTAACTGGCCTCTTGGCAGAATCGTAGAGATATTCTTAGGTAAAGACAATAAGGTTAGAGTAGTTTCAGTGAAAACGAAAGGAGGTATTTTTAAGAGATCAATTAATAAAATTTGTCTTTTACCTATGCCAAATTAAACAAAAAGTATGTTTGTAATTAATTATTGTATTTTCTTATTATAGTAGTTTGATTTTGTTGATGTTATTATTTGATGTTTACAATTATTTACCTGTATTTCGTATTGTCACTCTGTGTAATTTTTTATTGTAAGATTTAATTTTGAATGATTACATCATGTCAAGGCGGGCGGTATGTTGCGCCTGCGCGCGCATTTCATTACTAGCGTCGGCGCATGCGTCTTGAGCTCTTGGAGTTTGTGACATGAGATTGTGAGCTAAGAGCGTGTGAGAGAATTCGTGGCTTCGAGTGGCCATGAACTATGTAAATTAATGAGAATTAAAGTGAGATATAATACAGTCCATTGTTCCTGAGTTTATTGAATTATAGTGTAGTGCCTGTGCAAAACATATTTCCTATATTTAAATAAAAATTTTTGGATTAATTGGAGAGGTTACTTCATCATTGAAAACGTCTCTAAAATGGAATTGTCTTTGCGAACTTCGATTCTATCCGATTTACAAGAAGTAAAAAGGGAACATTGCTGCTTATGTCTAGAAATGCAGTATGGAATTTTGTTTCAATAAGTGTTCAGCAAAAGCTGAATTTTACCATTTCGCACGCACTTCTGGTTTAAGTGGGTGTTACCAATGGCGTAGCTGAGAGGGGGGGGGAGATATCTGCTCCCGGATGCAGCATCAAGGTGGCGCCAAATTGATGTTAGGAAATTTAAAAATGAAATGTTTTCCATTCTTGGCAAACGGGGGGGGGCAATTCTTCAGTTGTTCCCCTGCCCTGAAAATACTAGCTACGGCTTTCATTCTTGCTACTGGGTTTGAGCTTGTCATCTAGCATTATTCTGATCTCATGGAAGACACTCTTAAGAATCGTAGAGATATTCTTAGGTAAAGACAATAAGGTTAGAGTATTCAGTGAAAACGAAAGGAGGTATTTTAAGCGATCAATTAATAAAATTTGTCTTTTACCTATGCCAAATTAAACAAAGTCTGAACTAAATTTCTTAGCGCGTGTATTCTATGTTTAGAATTAAAAGGGAATGAATTTGTTTATATATTTTGTTCACGAAATCTACTTCTCACCATTATATATGTGCGTCACTTTATATCAGTAATATTTTCAGTTACATGGATTTGTATGATAAATGTTTATATATTTTGATGGAGTTTACATAGATATTAACCAGTAGCACTAAATTTCTATTAAAACATTCCCATACTGAAACACCTACAAAGGGAAGTCTATAAAGAAATGACCACTGCATCATCATTTTTTTTCCCCCTTAAGTACGCTTTTATAGGTTTGAAAGGTAAGGGAAAAAAATAGAGAAAATAGGAGGGGGATTGCACGCTTTGCGGTAAGAGATTGTATTTCCCCCTCCCTCTACCTTTGGATGTTTGTTATTAGTGACGTAATTTGGGACGAGTGTCACGAACTTAATGTACACCTGTCTCTTGACGGAATGGTATTTCCTCCTATTAATAGCGTCCCTGCAGTTGGGGGGAGGGGAAGGAAAAAAAAAGAAAACTGGTTTTTTCCTTTAATAAATAAAAAGAGCAGCGAAGAATATGAAGTGATTTGGTGGGCTTCTGTGTTTATAATCGGAAATTTTCGGTTACAGTTTGCGCTCATGACTCTCCCGCTTTGTTTCGAAAGTAATTTTGTTTGGAATTCTGCACTTCACTTACCGTTAGTTGAGCGACAAATTTGTTTCCGTGTTTTATTCAATCTGAATTATGACTAAATTAAGTGCACTAATTAAATTTCGCTAAAGTTTTGCTTATTGAAAAATTACGTTTTGGAACTTTTCACTTTTGAAAGATTCACATTTAGAATTTAACCATAACGAATATTTTATATTTGTTTTGGAAACTTAATCCTCCGTTAAAATACTTCTCAAGAACACTCGGATTGAACTACTGAAAGGTAAGACAAATATGCGAGCATCATTTTAAACATTGAATTTTTAATTGCTAACGATATTTAACTAATCAAATTTTTATTTGTTACGTTTGAATATTAAAACTAATAACTTTTTAGCCGCTTTTGAAAACACGTTATTTTTATGAGAATTGATTTTAATATTTTTTTATGTTATATTAATAAAAGAATAATTTGATAGGGCATCAAATTTTTAATTACAATTTTAATTACAGTTTTTTAATAACCTGAACGATTAAAAGCACAAGTTTAATTAAATTTTATTTTATTTTAAAAAACTTTAATTGATACTTGATTTAGAATATATTTTATTGACGACTCTAAAACCATTTGTAGCATTGTTAAAATCTAATTAAATAGTGTTTAAAATGTCACATATTACTATTGTGTAAAGCATGATACTTTTTATCATTTTAAAGTACCCGTATTCAGCTCAAATATCTCTTTCATTTAGAAATTTATTTGTGTTGCTCATTTATAAATTTAATATGTTATTAAATAATTATCAGATAATTAAAAAAAATTTGTGGTTTTAACGGGAAGAAATTAGAAGTTTCTCCCAAACTATTTTACAGTATACGATAAATACTAACACATATTTTCTTCCGAAACAAACTGTTATAAACATCAACTCCGTTTAAGTAGTGACTGTAGTACTCTTAAAGGAAGTAATATATAAAACATGAAAATTGTGGAGCGCCTGTAACAAATTCATTATTAGTTTATTATTAGATATTAGTTTATTAGATATTAGTTTATTATTAGATATTAGTTTTCGTCAATGCACTTTCATTAATAGGTTTCATGATTAAGGCGCCCATGCTTTTATTACCCCTGGTATAAAATTGTAGATGAATTTTATAGACAGAATTATTAAATTTCTTTCTTCCATTAAAGTATATGATAAATTATTTTTTTCCTTTTAATTCGTTAATTATTTCACGAATTAAAAGCTTACCTTATAAAACCTTTTGTATTTTTTAATTTTGATATTTTTAGGGTAAAATCCTAGTATACGGTGCACCATGGGCGATTTTGAAAAATTATCGGAACCCAAAAATGACCCCGAAGAACGTCTATGTATATACATTCACTATATACTATGTATATAACATAGGTCTAATTATTCTTGAAGACTCGTTACTACTCATCATATATGTCCCAATTTTACTGCTCATCATAAAGTAGCCAAATCCCGTGTGCACCGGATACTAGGATTAAACCATTTTTAACCATTTTTAGTTTTAGTGGCAATTAAATTGAAAAAGCACTGTTTTATTTCCAGCAATACTGTTACCTTCGAAAAAATCAGCGATTTAGCGAGGGGGAATAACGGAAATTTCTTTAAAAATCTCATATAAATTTCCTTTAAAAAGTTTTGTTTCTTCGCTGTATCCGATGATGCAAATAGTAAAATAAAGAGCGATTTTAGTTTATTCGTTAAACAAAGATATGTGCGAAAAATCATTTCAACATTAAATAAAAAAAGAAAAAGAAATCGAATTTTGAAAAAGCATTGCTTTAACACATTGTATTACCATCCATAAACATCGTGTACAAAAATTTTAACTCGATAGCTTATTAGGAAGCAGCTTGAAAGAGATGAAAAATTTTCTATTATACAACAAACGCTATGAGAGAGCTAAATAAAAGATTAATAAAAAATGTGTTTATGAAAACCGAACAAAAATCCTTTAAAAAATGACTTTACGCGGAACTTATTTAATCTTTTTCTGAGGAGAAAAGAAAAGAGAGAAAAGAGTAATAAAAACTCTCACAATAAAATTTCACCTAAAGAAAAAAAAAAAAAAAAAAAAAGTTTACCATAGAGACATTATGTTATTTCGAAGCAGGAGAGATGAAAAAGGAGCAATGCCCTCGGGTGCATATTTCACAAGTGCACATCAACGTAGCCACTGAGGGAGGAGTTTCGAAAATGGACCAATGAGCTGCTGTTGCTCTTGTGATGCTAAATCTTCGTGCATGTGAGCATATATTGTTTACGTTTTAATTTGCATTTGTTTCGCAGTTATAAATAGATGACGCAATAGTAGAAATCTTGTAGTGCTTTCGTTTTCTGAGTTTAATTAATAGCGATTTTTATCACTTTCGCGATTTTTATCACGCATTAATATTGGATTGATGTTCACTGCATATTATGTGGGTTAAGAGAATTCAAGTGTATTTTTTATTGAGCTGAGAATGACTGAAAGGGTTTGCAATGAATCTAGTGTTTTCTTATTTCATGCTGCATTCTTTTGATTTTTAAAGTGTAGATTCGAATACATATAATCTGATTATATCCATTGCTAACATTAAAATTATATGTAAATAAATTGAATATATTCGTTGTAAGATAAATTCACTCTGTTTGATGAGTATTATTTCTCGTGTACAATACATTTAAGAGCCAGTTATTAATGAGAAATTTACACACTAAATGTATGAATGCAAATGATAAAGTTCACTTTTAAAATTCTGCATTGCTATTATTATAAACATCTTTTTCTATAGACTGCAATAAAAAGTCTGACTTCATTACATATTATAACTGGTGTAAGTATTTTTCTTAGCGCATAGTTTTAGTAAACGTTGCATTTGGGCTCAGATGTTATCACATTTTCTTTCTTCATCTTTTTACCACTTATTAGTAATATTTCCATCCATATTTTTTGCGAAATATCCAACATGTGTTTGTATTTATTTAACCACGTAGTGAAATCTTCTAATTGCCTATATTTGACTAACTTCGCATGAAAAGTTTCAGAAGCAATCGACGATTTTAATTGTTGTACGAAAATTCGTGGCAGAAATTTTCAACCATCTTGCTTAATCTTAAAGCACGCGAAAGGTCATGTGACATGACAGAAATATCACAGGATGCTCATTGGTCCATCCTAGAAGCCACTCCCTCGGTGGCTACACAGATGTGCACTTGTGAAATATGCTCTCCGGGTCTCGAACCACGGACCTCTCGAATTCGCGTCGACCGCCACGAGGCGAGGAGAAATACCTTATAAGCTTTTCAAAGAGAATTAATATAAACACGTCCTCTAAAATTTATTTAAAGAAAAGGAGTACAATTAACTTTTAAGTGCTAATTGCTAATAGACGTAAACAATTCTCTTTTTGTCGCAGGGGGGAATATGGCGAAATCTCTAAAGGTGTTTTTTCCGGCTCTGAATAGAATTTTGCATTTTAAGGAAGAAAAGTTTCATCTTCGAATACAGATTATTTAGATATATTAAAGGTCTGGCATGTACAGAGCTGCCAAAACGCATAGCTAGAATTTGCTCACGATTTCATTATTTATCTAGATTGAAAATAATAGGGTTTGAAAAAACACCGTAAATGGTGCTAATGGGAGTTTTTCTCCTGAATATGGAATTAATTTAGTGAAAAGTGTCATAATCTGTGGTGCAATACCTATTGACGTCGCACTTTTTCAATGGTTTTCCCCTTCCCCGGAGCTGTTCCGTATTCTTTCCCACTCTTAAGCCCAACATGTTAAGTGGCTGACCTGGAAAATGGGGTTCAGATCGTGAGGGCATTTAATGTAGAGCAATTGCTCTGCATGGAATGACACAACTGTGACTTCATGAACCCAATGGCCTTCTCTTCCCCTGTTCCTCCGCGAAATCTTGACCCATATTTTCTCACCTTTTTGGCATTTTTGTCGAACGAGCTCAAGCCACTGCCTGCTGAATGAATTGCATAATCCAGATGCAAAAGTTGACTTTTTTTTTTTTTTTTATTTTGATTAATTGGCATCTAAACTGGATAAGACAAGTGGTGCTTAATTTAAAAATCTGGTTTGCTTCGATTAACAATCAATGGCAGGGCCAAGCTTTCATTAGCATTTGAAAGTAAAGATATGATGTAATACATGTGTATAAGTGAATCTGTGAAACTTTTACATCTACTCAGATCATTTTTTTTTTACTTTAGCTTGTTTATAATAATATTTATAATAATGTAAGTTCTTCCAAATTTTAAAAGAAATCGTCTAGTCTCAGTCCTGCAATAGAATTCATAAAATGCAATTTCAGTGGCAAAATTTTTATGCTTTAATCTGCAGATCGAAATGCAGAAAACTGTATTACAAATTGTGCAAAAATTAAGTGGTGTGGAATTTTCTTCGATTAGGCATCATATGTTGATCTCTCGATGCCCTAACAGTATCGAGTTTGCCATTCAGTCAGCTATCAAAATAGTTATCTTCATTTTCATAAAATATCTTTATTTCTAACTTGTTGGATGCCTATGAAAATAATTTATTTCAAAGTTAATTAAAAATATTTCGATTAAACAGGACGTAAATGTCCACCAGCGATTGAACGGTAAAGTTGCTAAACATTAGAAGTTTGTTTCAAAACGCGGCAAACGGTCTGGTCTGGTTGCATTTAGCATTTTTCGTGGATTTCTTCATGATAATGTAAATACGAATAAGTTTCTTTAAAAAGAAGGCTTTCTTTCCCACAGGCAAATGGATTACCCTCTTAAGCTTTGCCATAAACCAAACCAAACCAAGATGTAAATTTAGAGTTTATCAGTTTTCTGTCCTTCTATGAGATATATTCCTTGAGTTCGAATATTGTATTTTTTAAATTTAGAAATAAGTAATAAAAGATCAAATTACAAATAATTACAAATAAATCATAATTTTTTTAATTGCAATTTATTGTTATCTTTCTAAATAATATAACAGATATATTTAGTTGCATTGTACGAATTATACCTAAATTAGTTTGTTTTTATAACTCGGGTAGAATGTAGAATACTAAAAATTTTAATTATTAACAAACAAAGAAGACGAGAGAATTTTGTTAATAAATTCATAGAACATCGCCGTATTATAGACTTGTATTTTTTTGAAGTTGCTTGAACTTGTATTATATTTTTGACCAGCACAGCCCTTTTTCTTAGCTTAACAATTTTTTTATTTAGATGCTTTGATTTACTCTTGCGACCATTGCCATATTCCC